GGATTTTAAATTAATAAAAAAAAAAAAAAAAAAAGATAATAACTAATTGTTTTGTTCTTGCTTGTTTTATATTATATAATACTATTTTTTTATACTATACTACTAACATGTTTGTACAAGTAAAGTAGATAAACAAAAAGCTCCTCCCAATGCATAAGCTCCTGTTTGTGTCCATCTTCTACCAATTCTATCACTTAAAACTTTTCCCAATATATAACCTGGTAATTCAACCAATGATTGCCAAAAAAAATTCATAAATGGATTCCCTGACATGTTAGTAACGTTTAAAGTAATAACATAATAGCATAATCCTGAAACCGACCTAAAGTCAGTTAAAAATTTTTATTTGTTTTCATTTAAAAAAAAAACAAGGTATAAAATTAATATTAAAATTTTTTTTTACCAGCAAGTAATAATAATAATTGTATTTTTTGCTAATCTCCAATTAGCAAAAAGACTGGCTAATCCATAAAATGTTTCTTTTTTGTTTTTTATCTTTTCTAATACTGAATATGTGTTTTTTGGAATTTTTGTTTTATTTATATTTGAAATATACTTCAAAACATTTACAGCTTCTTCTATTTTACCACGACTCGCCAACCATCTTGGAGACTCAGGTAAAAGTCTGGAAAATTTAATTTTTTTTAAAAAAAACCCTAGTATTGACTCAAATATAATTAAACTTATAACTTTATTTGAAAATCAGTAATTAATCAGTTATTTTAGTTTAATTAATTTTTATACTTACTCATACATAAAAAAACAAACAATATTTGGAAGTGTTGATACTAGCATAATTAATTTCCAGTCTCTTAATCCCCAAGCAATAAGAATTAAAAGGCATAAACCTAAAACCCAACCTGTGCATTGTAAAAATGCAATGTGGGAACGTTTTTTCTCATCTGAAACTTCCATACCTGAAATGAAAATCAAAATAAATTTTTATTTCCCAGTAAAATCCAGAATCAAAAAAAAAAAAAACAGGGATTCTTACTTATTACTAACGGTGATTGAAAAACGCTTGTTGAAGCAGTACTACCCAAAGCAATTGAAAAAAGAAAAAATAAATAATTTCCAGAAACAAAAACGGATAAAGTTCTTCCAATTATTAGAATAAGAATCGATAAGTAAAAAACAGGTTTACGACCATAACTGCGTGTATTAAATAAAAAAAAATATTTATTATATACAAAATGAAAGGAAAAAAATTTGCTGATTGATCGATTGATTGACTTTCGTACCTATCTCCTAATTGTCCAAAAACAAAAGTACCTATAATTTCTCCTATTCTTCCAGCAGCAAATGTGTTCGATACGTAAATTTCTTTATCGCAAACCCAATTTTGTTCTGTTGTAACGGTTTCGCTGTACCATGTTCGATCGAAATTCCAACCGTATAAACAACCTTTTGTTGTAACAACATTATGTTTATGTTTAAAAATTTAATAAAAAGGTTAATATTTGTAGAAAATAAATAAAATCTTGATTATTATTATTAAAAAAAAAAAAAGTAATACATACTTATCGAATTTTTTTCAGTTCCATTTACAATATACATTTTACAAGAATCGTATAACGTTTCTCCTGATTTATTAATTCTAAAAAAATAATTAATCGATATAAAATTAATAAATTTATTTGTTATTACGATTGGTTAACGTTTACTTTTAAAAATTTGAATTTTGGGGAGTATGTTTATAGTTTTACTCACTTGAGTAGCCATATTTCTTTCCATTCTTCTAACGAATAATTAGTTGCTTCCATTCCTGGGACTTGGCAAAAATGCTCAGGTATAGTCATTGCCAATATAATATTTAAATAAGGCATGGTTAAAAAAATAACAATAATAAAATTATATAAAAAATTAAATCTTTTTTGAAATTTCCCATCGTTACCTATTTCTTCCATTAAATGATCAAATTGATAATTATCATCATCATTATTTAAAAATGGTTGTTTGTTACCTTCGGGTAAATCATTCGACAAAAATTTATCATTAAATTTTTTTAGCGGTTCCTTAGAATTACCCATGACAAGTGTAAAAATTTAATTTTTTTTCGATTTTCACGTTATAAAACCGTTTTAATAATCGTCATTTCGATTGATTTCACTTCGATATATCACTCGTAATTATCTTATTTAAAAAAAAAAAAAAACGAAAACTGGGTTTTAATATTAACTTTTTAAAAACAAGACCAAAGTCAATAAGAACTATTTAAAACCTCCGATAAAAATAATTTTTCTATTTTCTTCTCTTATCGCTCTCTCATGTAAATTAAAAAATTTACGTCTTGTATATCTTTTAGTTCTAACTATTACAACGCTCATCATTCTATTATGTTAACAATCAATTACTTAAAATCTCATGACGAACCCTATGATTTTTCTCATTCAAAAAAAAAAAAAAATAATATTTATATTTTATATAAGTATTCGAATACTATTTAATAATATGTGAATAATTTTAATCGATTATTTTTTTATATAAAAATTATTTTTTTACGTCATCATCTCCACATAACCCGCCCATATATTCTTCAAACTTATTTAAAAAACTTATATTTTTGTATAGCAACAAAAAATTTTTTTAAAGGTTATATTATATAGTCCTTCATAAAAAAATAATTTTTTATTATTCAAATATAATTAAATTTAGTTTAAACAAATATTGTGTAATATAGTAGGTGAGTTATGTAATTTGTTTTTAACTTAAATTACCTTTTTTTTAATTTTTTAAAATTTTGTTAAAAACAAGAATGGAAATCAAAAATGATTGAAAAACTTTATATAATGAATTAAATAAATTTAAAATTAAAAAATATTTTCTTACATTTAATAAAAAAATAATAAATAAATAAAAAATTATTTCAATGTCAAAATTTGTTTTGGATTGTGAAACTTATTTTTTTGTCTTGAGTAATAAATTTATTATTATTTATTTAACTTGAATTTTTAACAATTTATTTTTTTCTTATCTTAAATAACAAAAAAACAAAGTTTTTTTTTTTTTTTTTACAATATTTTGTTGAACGTACATGGAAAATTAAAATCAAGGACAATTTAAAATGAATTTAAATTTCGCTAATAAAATAATTGTTGAAAAAAAAAAAAACAACAACAACTTTAGTAAACTAATATTTAAAAAATTTATACAGTTTTATTTCGTTTATTTAAAAAAAAAAAAAATATTTTATTGTTTAAAAAATTACTGATTTACATAAATGAAAAGCCCAATGAAAAAGTATAAATTTTTCTTTTTTTTTTTTTTTTATGGGACAGTTCATAAAAAATTGTTTTTAGTTTGATTTGAAACTAATTTTAAATTAACATGGTATAAATCAATATTATTACAAATCTTATTTTGATTTTCCTTTTTCTTTTTTTAAGGCTTTTTCTAAACCTTTGACACATTTTTCCGTCAAGTTATATTTTTCTTTGAGAATTCCAAAAGCCACAGCAATTTGATTTCCTTGAACTTGGACTTGTGATCCTTTTTTTCCAGGTACTGATGTAGTTATTGTCGTACTTGCAGCAGCTTTGTGTTGTAATTCTTTAGCAAATAAGTTTATATTTACCCCGTAACTTTCCAAGTTGCTGATAAGAGTTACTTTTTTATTACCCACTCTCGAACATATTTCGAATTCGACGTAGGGCATTTTACCCTTGTGAACAATTGTTTCGCCATTACTACAATTGGATACCTTGTGTTGCACTCCCATTTTTTGTAAAAAATTTGATAAAAGGTTACCTCTGCTCATTACATCTCCGTTGTTAAGAATATGATGAAGGATAGGATCTAAAATTACAAAATCAGGTTTGTTGGGATCTGCCAAATTTTCATTTCTGATGTAATCATTTAAATGATTTCGAACATCATTCCGGGTTAGTTCATCATTTTTTTTTAAACCAAATTTTACAAAAAATGGGAGAGTACATGCTGACACTGAATAAACTTGTTGTACTACTGTTTTATTGTCACCTCGAGGAACCACTGTAACAGAAACAACATTGTACGGGTCGACAAATTCTTTAACTCTTTTATGATTGGTATTAGCTCCAGCTATAGTAATGTCATTTTTTGGCACTTGTTGTAATGTTATTAAGCCTTCAAGACTTTTTTCTTGAAGAAAAGTAGAAAATTTTTTCCATTTTGTTTTTTTTAAATTTAACGTTTTTCCATCGGGTATGTTGGTTAAAATGTATTTAGCATAAAAGGTAGCCGGTAATATAGGATAAGAATCTTTGGGTATAGTTTTAAGGGCTTTAAAAAAACAATATTCTAGCACTTCATCTGATGAATTTCTTTCATCTTGCTCTTGGCTATCCTTATTCACTTCATTATCTAAATTCTTTTGTTGATCCAGTTTACAATTTTCAAGATCGGTATTCAAAATATCAACACTTTTTTCCTCAACACTTGAGTCTTTTGTTAAATCTTCACTTTGTGACTCTTCTTTTAATGTACATGTCTAAAAGAATTAATAATTTTAATAGGTACAAAATAAATTTTCAGTAAATTTTTCAATAATATTATACATACCCATTCTGGGGGACCCAACTGCAATGTGACAGAATCAGAATTTGTTTTAAATAAATAATCACCAGCAATGTGATAAATTTTTACTAATTTTCCAATTTCCTTATTTTTGATGGGATCCAAGATATCATCTTTATTGACTAATGAAAGACCTACAGCCATTACTGCTTTATTATCGACTAAGTTTACAGCAATAGGATTTTGCTTTTTAAAATTAAGTGTATCATTAGATATGCTTTCTAAATATATGCCAGGAAAAAAAAGATCAGCACCATTTTTTAATTTATCAAGTACAGCTGAACTAGTAGTGAGTACTGGAAGCATATTTGGAAACTTCCATACCATAAAAACTGTAGGCAATTTAATATTGTTACTTATGTCTTCAATGAACATAGGAATTTTATTTATAGAATAAATATCAACTTCTTCTTCCTTAAATGTTAATATTCTTGTTTTAATTATGTTTTCTTTACTGCTCACTAAAGTTGAAATATCATTTTCACTCAGTGCTGGAAACACAGCTCTGATATCATTAATAAATTTTTTTTTTTCTGAGTTTTTTAATTGATTTTGCGATTTAAGCTTAAAAGGTTTTTTGAACATTTTAAATTTTTTTTTTCTTTTGCTTGAAAAGCGTTATTGTATTTTATTATAAAATGGTAAAATAATAAAATAAAAAACTTTTTAAATTAAATTACTCACAATAATCAAGGTAATAACAGTATATTTTAACTGATATTTTTATTTTGTACCTATAATTTTGAATTTTTTTCAAAATGCTCCATATAATAAATTTTATATATTTATAAATGTATTGTCATTTAAATGTAGTTTTTACAAATTGATAAAATTAAAAAAAAAAACTAGAGAAATTATTTATTTTTGGTCATTATGGTAAGTATAAAAAAAAAATTTTTTAGCTTTCTACGACGTAATCTACACGTCTATGTCTTTAATATAATTCACAGTTATTAGTACTTTATAAAAAAGTTTATAAGGTACGTGTCAATAGAATATATTCTTGCCGTAGTTTAATATAAGTGAAATTTATAAAATTTAGGCAAATTAAATGTTTTTCCAATTATTTATCATGATATGTATTAATTTTTCAGTGCTAATTATACTATAACGTAGTTTTTAATGTAACGGACAGAATCTTATCATAACATTTGTAATTATTTTATGCTTATTTTTTGCATTAATTTACGTAATAAAAATACGCAATGGATTTAAGTGATTTTAAGCAGTAATAATTAATTTTAAAAAATAAAAACAATTTTTATGGCAGATAATTTGGCAACGCAGCTTTTTACATTTTAAATATCAAAATAGAGTGCAAGTGAAATGTTGAAAAGAAAATTTTATTTGTTCATGCGTTTATAGTTAAAACAAAGTAATGGCTACTGTCCCAGAAAGGCATTTAATTCCTTCAGAAATTTTAGATGACCTAAGTAGTCGTTTTATTGTAAATGTACCTGAGGAGGAAAGGAAAGAACCCATTCGGTTGTGTTTTCAGGTTGAGTTAGCCTACTGGTTTTATTTAGATTTCTTTTGCACTGAAGATCCAAATTTGAAAACCTGTGGTATGAAAGAATTTACAGCACAGATTTTTGAACACATTCCTTTTTTAACTCCCCTCCTTAAAAATTTAGATAAAGTTATTGACGACTGGCGAATGTACAAATCATCTGTTCCTACTTATGGTGCTATAGTGTTGAATGAAGATCTGACTAAAGTTTTATTAGTTCAGAGTTATTTTACAAAATCTTCTTGGGGTTTTCCCAAAGGAAAGGTTAATGAGTTAGAAACTCCTTATAATTGCGCAGTTAGAGAAGTAAGAAAAAATTATTTTACAAATAATATACACATATATATATAAATCTGTCTTCTTATTGTTTTATAATTTTTTTTTTTTTTTATAGGTTTTTGAAGAAACAGGGTTAGATATAAGTAAAATGATAGATATTAATGATTACATTGAAGCAAATGTAAATGAACAAACAGTAAGACTGTACATGGTATCTGGAGTAAATGAAACTGAGAAATGTCAACCTAGGACTAGAAATGAAATTAAAAGTGTTGAATGGTTTACAATTCGTGATTTACCATCGAGTAAAAAGGATATGACATGTAAAGTTAAGATAGGAGTTGGACCAAATTCTTTTTTTATGGTTCTTCCATTTATTAAGTAAGTAATCAATAAAAATTAAAAATCAAAAAAATTTTGAGGTTACACAAAAAAGCAATAACTAATATTAAACTTATTTAATTAGATTGAAATTTTTTTAAGAGTTTTAATTTAATTTCAGTGCAAACTTTATATAACCTATGCATTTTTAAATATGAGAAATAATCTTAATGTGTTTTTGAATTAAATATTTATTTAAAAAGTATTCTGTTTTTTAGACGAATACGAAGTTGGATTCAAGAAAAAAAACAAGATACTAAAGTCAACAAAAATGGGAGGCGACAATATAATAAATCAGCGACTAAAACTTCCACAACTTTAACTTCATCACCTTCTATGTCATATTCTGACAAATATAAGCAATTAAACCAAACCTTTGATGCTTTAGAGGTAAATTTTAAATAAAAATTAAAATTAAAAAAAAAAAAAAAAGGCACTTAAAAAATGAAATCGATATTTATTTATAAAAGAAAAAGAGTTTACAAATTTATAAACTATTTTTATTTTCTAGTACACTGTTGTTAAACTTAAACAGCAATGTAGGTATATTTTTTTAAAAAATTAATTTGAGATTGGCATTTAAGTAATGAAAGTATAATAGATAATAAATTTTTCTTTAAAATATTTTGACACATTAAAAAATTTATTTAAAAACTTTATACATTAGGTGAAAAATACTTTTGTTTAACAAAAAAAAAAAAAAGTAATTTATACTACAGTATGGTGTGTAATATAGTTACTACATAGATTTAAAATTGTAATTATAACTTTTTTCAGAATGAATTACTTCAGTATTCAGTAGATAAAAATTTAATACAGAAAAATATAAGGAACATTAGGCAACAAAACAAATCAAATTCTCAGCGAGAATATTTTAGTAAGTTAATTTTTTTTTTATGATAATATTATTGTAAAAAAATTTAAAGAAATAATTTTAAATATATTTTTTTTAAAAATTTCATTTCCTTTTTGCAGCTGATGAAGAGAAAAACAAAGATAATTGCAGTCTTCGAAATCAAAATGATATTTCTAATTTTTACTGCGCGTTCAGAAAAAGTAATAGTAGTCAGCCTAGGAAAAAAATTCAAAATCAAGAACCACAGTTTATAGTTCAAAAGTGGATAAATTTTAAGTTAGATAAAATTTCAATTTTAAAATGTTTTGACGATTAAATACAATAATGAAATGGAAAACAAATAAGTAAGTTTTATACAAAACGCGAAAAAAAAAAAAAAAAAAAAAACTATTTCTGAAAAGAATTTCTGAAGAAAGAAAAATTCACAATTTTTTTTTTTTTTTTAACTATAAAAAGGTACAAGATATTTTTTCTAGCAATCGTATAAATAAAGCCAAATGTTTATTTGTCAACAAAAAATGTTCGAGATATTTTTATGAAAGGAATGATCATATAAAATTATATTCAACTTTTTTATATATACATATAGTTTGTTGCACATTTGGTTTTAAAATTTTTTTTTTAACTTAAAAATAGATTCAGGACGAAAAATTTATTTGTAAGTTATGTATGTTAATATACATATAAATTTATACACACAAACAGATTCATATAATCATAATAATACATAAATATATGTATATTTATTTGTGCTTTTATTTTTACTCTTGTACTTTATTATACACTTATTTTCAATTTGACTTATGGTATGCAATTACCAAATGAATAAATGTGTTACAATTTTATTTTTGATTTTCTTATATTTAAAAAAAATTTTTTTTTATTTAAAAACCAAATTAATTTCAAGCAAATGTATTTTTTTATTCAATTTTTAATAAAAAAAAAAAAAGAAAAAAAAAGAAAATTAAATATTTTTAAATTCGAACATTTTTTGTCAGTATTTTATAAACAGAGAAAAAAAAAATAATAATAAAATAAATGTTATATTTTATATTAGAGTCTATATTTATCAATATTAATCTTTGATAATTTTTATTACATCTTATCAAATTAATTGTGAAAAATATAATTGTAGTAGTTGACTATTATGAAATTTATTTTTACTTTAAAATTTTTTTTTGTATTTTAATAATGACAAAAGGCAAGTTAATTATTATTAATATTTAAAAAACAAAAATTAAGAAAAATTCTTTTAAATTAATTAAAAATGTAATTCTATTAAAAAATTAGTATCAATACTGGTATTTAATTCACTACTATTAATTGTAACTTTTTGATTCAAAAATTTATGGTTTTAGTAAATAAAATTAATCAAAACATTGGTAAAAAAAAAAAAAAATTATTATTTTATATGATTTTGTCCAACAAAATTGAAATCGAATCAATAAAATTATAGTCATATATATGTAGTCGATGAAATTAAGTGTAGCTTTATTACATTTTTTTAAAACGGAAAATTCATAACAAAATTAATAGGGAAACATAAATATTATTTTCATAATAAAAAAAATTTACATGAATAAAATTATATATTGTGAAGTTATACAGCTTTTTTTTTTTTTGTAAACCTAAACTGGTACAAAGCCAGTACTAAATGTCATATTTGAAAAAATGGTAGTTTTTATTAAAAACTAACATTTTCTCTTTTATCTGAACATAAATTCTGATTAATTTTCTTTAAAAGGAGAAAAATCTTAAATTATCGTGTCATTAGATTTAAAAATATATACTTTTTTTGTTGGCCAAACTGTTAGTTGTGAGTGTATAATCAAAATGTCCCAGGTTTTGACAGAAGAACAAGAACAGGTAAATAGTTTCCTTTTTTGTACTATTTAATGTTTATTCAATGTATGTAAAAATTGAGAAGGTTAAGTTATTGCAGTGTGACGTATTTTTGATTAATATGAATAGTAAAATTAATTTTATTTATGTATAAATTAATCTCTCAGTTTTTTCTTTTTTGTTCAAACACCCACTTCAAAAAGTTAAAAGGTTTTGTTACCAAGAATTAACTATCCAAAATGGCAGAATGTTTTTATTATTTATTATACAATTTTTAGAATACAAATATGACGGAAAATTTTATTATATTGAAACAATTTTATCATTATTTTATTATAAAATATTTTTTTCATTGTTAAAAATAAACTTCTTATGTAATACAGTAAATTCTTATGATTAATATCACAGAAATGTTTTAACTTATTTAATTATATAATTTTTATAATTTATTATTTTTTTTAGGCTGCAAAACATTTTATTGAAGTTGTTAATAAGTTAAAGAAACATAGGTGTTCCAGCCCTTTGTCATGGAGTTGTGCTATTAAATTTTTAGCTGCTAGGAAGTATGATGTACAAAGGGCTGTAACTCTTTATGAACAACATGAATTGACAAGGCACAGAGAAGGTCTTGTTTATTTTGATACAAATGCTGAACCTTTAAAATCTGAATTAAATACTGGAAAATTTACAATTTTGGTAAGATTAAGTTTTTAAATTTTTTTTTTTTATTTTTATTTTCTCTTGTTCCATTTTTTTTTTTTACTTGTAATTGAATTAAATTTTTCTTCCATTGATAACAAATTTTTTTTTTTTCAAATATATCCAGAAAGTAAATATTTTTTAAAATTAACAAACAAATAATTTAAAATTTAAATCTTTCTGTTTTAAAAAAAAAAAATTGTAATTAATGCTTAATTAAAATTTATTATTAATTTAAATAATTCATAAATTTTATTGAATGCAATATAAATTAGTTTGAAATATTGATATGTAAAATGTTGAATTAATCAAATTCAATTCTTGACAAACTTGAATATTTATTTTGTTTTTTTATAATCTACAAGTTAATCAGTTTTGTATATAATAACTTAATCTTTATTTTCTAAACAAGATTATTGCTAAATAGAAAATTAGCCATTTTAAAAATTACAATTTTTTTTTTTTTGGTTCTCATAATAAAATTAGGTGATTTTAAAGATTGCTTATTAAATTACAATTCATTTAATATCAGATTCTAGATTTTTATAATCCATAATTTTTTCTAAATATTTCATTGACTAACTGAGCCATGCTTTACTACAAGTGCTGATAAACATTGAAACCGAGTTTAAACTGATTTAAACATAAATACTCATTTTGCTTCCAAAAATAAACATTATTAAATTTTCAATTTTAAAATTTATATTTTTCTGAGTCATTTAACTGTTTATTACCAGCTGGTGCATTTAAAATATTTTTAATTGTAAATAAAACAATAAAAAAAAAAGAAAACTATTTTAAATTTTATGTGGATTTCATACATAAATAAAATTTTGTTAAACAAAAATTACCTAATAATTATTTTTAAACAATTTTTTTTTCTTTTTTTTTTTTTTTGTATAAAAAGAAAAATATTGAAAACAAATTACTCATTAATTTTAATTCTTTTTTATTAAATTATTGATTAAATTTATGTAAAATCAATTTCGAAACAAAATTACCGGAATCAGTTTTTAAATCAAATTTTTTTTTAATATGTTATAAATAAGTAATATAATTAACCACAAATAACTAAAATCAATTTGACAAACATAAATTTGGAGTATTTAATTTAAATTGTTGTTTTTTTGTTGTTTGATTACTCGTAATTTGTTAAATCTTATTTTAAGTATGATAATCATGTGTTTCAAAAATTGATCACCACTCGGAAAACATAAACAAAAAAAAAGAAAAAAAAAAATGAGGTTATCGTTAATTTAAAAAAAAAAAAAAAAATTTTTACCGCGTTTTTATTTTAATAATTGTGTATTAACTAAAAGTTTATTTATTTTATTGTTAATTTTTTTTTAGCCCGGGAGAGATGCTTCAGGCGCAGCGGTTGCATTATTTAGAGCTCACATGCATCATCCTTCATTATCATCTCATCAGACAACATTACAGGTAAAGCAGAAGAATTCTTTTTTTTTTTTTTTTTTTTTTTTTTAATAAAATAATAATTTGTTATTTTAATATAAGTAAATTATTTTTATAATTGTTTTACATTATAGGGTGTAGTATATCAACTCGACGTAGCTTTAGATAGTCCAGAGACTCAAAAAAATGGTCTAGTCTTTATATATGATATGTCAGATTCCAAATATTCAAACTTTGATTACGATTTTAGTCAAAAAATTCTCCCGCTCTTAAAGGTAAGACTCTCAAAAAAAAATTTTTTTTTTTTTTTTTTTTTTTTTGGGGGGGGGGGGTTTACACTTGATAACTTATAATATCAAAAAAAAATGATAGGAAAAAAAATAGTTACGTCATTATTTTTTTTTTTTTGATTGATTGCAACGAAAGCTAAAAATTTTCATTTGATTTTTCTTCACGTTTTCGATTCGTAAAAAAAAAATTTCTTTTTGTTTTTTTTTTTTTTTTTTTTTTTTTTTGAAAATTATTACAAAACTTTAATAATAAATAAAATTAATTAAGGAAATGTTTTGTTTTATTTAAATATTGTGCTTATGTTTCATTTTGTGTTATTTGGAACGCTTGCTTCTATAAATGTTTATTTATAGTTTTAATTTGTATTTTGAGCAATTGCACTTCCTAGCCAGTTTTTTTTTTTTTTTTTTTTTTTTTTTGTGGACGGTATTTATATATTATTATTATTTAAAAATATATTATTTTGTTTATTTTTAGAATTTTATTGTTTTAATTTGTAATAATTAATTTTCAAAAAAAAAAAAAAAAAATTTTTTGTTGTTGTTGTTAGAAATATCAATTAAAAGTATTTTTAGATTTTTTTTTGTTTTGTTTTGTTCAAGTTTTAAATATTATTAATTATTTATTTAATAATTTATTTATTTATTTATTTTTTTTTTGTTTTTTTTTTAGGGCGGATATCCTGCCAAATTAAAAAAAGTTTTAATTGTCACTGCGCCGCTTTGGTTTAAAGCACCTTTTAAAATTCTGAGGTTGTTTGTACGTGAAAAATTAAGAGACAGAGTTTTTACTATAAGCATACCCCAGGTATTAATAAATGTTTTTATAAACAAAAAAGAATTGTTTATTCATAATTTTTACTTTAAAAAAAAAAAAAAAAAAAACTAATTCAAGTTAAAAAAACACATTCATAATATATGTGTGAGTGCTCATCTGTTTAATTAATGGCGTAGACATAAAATTTTTTTTTTTTTTATTTTAAATATGAAAACGTGATTGTATTATTTTCAAGTCGAAAAGCGAGGAAGAAGAAGGAAATTGCAAAATTGTTATTATTATTATTATCAAAAATTTCTCTCTCTCTCTCTCTCTAGCAAATGGCTACTATTTTTTTATTTTTAAAAAATTTACCTTCAAGTTATTACCTCCTATATCCTATAATTTAAAATTTTTAAACTGCTGCTAACTTTATGACAAAATCAACCGCTAAAAAAAAAAGCTTTTAGGTTTTTTTTTATTTTTATTTTTGAAGAAAATATTAGGTATTTACGTAGAAAATTGCTCTAATTAATTAGCATTTTTATTAATAATTCACTCCTACATACTAATTGTTAAAAATTTTTTATTTTAGCTACCCATACACATTCCACGTGAATCACTTCCAACGATATTAGGAGGCACATTGGAAATTGATCACGATGCCTGGTTGCGTCACTGTCGTTTAAGCACATCCAGTATAAACCGGCAAAACGAGTCTTTAGATAAAACGACGACGAATCTTTATCAAGAAATAAATAATTTAGATAAAAAGGTATTATGCCATGTAAAATGCATTTTATTTTAATATATAAATTTTATATTAATATATGTATTTTTTTTTCGGTTAGATTATGCTTATGAAAGATTCTAATGAAGATTATTCGGTGGAAAAAAAAAATGAACCTTCTCCGGAAAAACATCCAAGGCTTTCACACTATTCTAATTCTGGAGAAGAACACGACGAAGAAATTTCCAAAACGTTAGATGCAATCAATTGGAACCGAAGAGAATCTAATAGTGGTTGTAACTCTTCCACTCCTCCTCCACCATCATCCGCTAGCAGCGGTTTTTCTGACGATGATTCTCTACACTGTGACGTCAATAGTCCCTCTTTTAGTATTGAGCAATTTGTAGATCACGTCAGGCTAAAAGGTCGTAAAGGTTTAATGGCAGAATATTCAGAAATTCGGGAAAAACCTCCTGATGGTTCTTTTAATATAGCCAGGTTGGAATTAATATTAATTTTAGGTCATTACTAAAAGAATTTATATAAAATTTAAAATGTTTTATTTGTTTTAGAATGAAACAAAATTTAGTTAAAAACAGATACACCGATGTGTTGTGCTACGACCATTCAAGAGTGTTGTTATCTCAACAAAGTAACGATCCAAATTCTGATTACATAAATGCCAATTACGTTGACGGGTACAAACAGAAAAACGCCTTCATTTCTACCCAGGGTAAATATTTTATAAAAAAAAAAAAAAAAAAAACTTATTTGTGGCAAAGCAAGAAAAAAATTTTTTTTTTTTTTAAATCACTTTTTTTAGGGCCTTTACCCAAAACAGCTCCAGATTTTTGGAGAATGGTTTGGGAACAAAATTGTTTGGTTATAGTGATGACCACAAAAGTTATGGAAAGAGGGAAAACAAAATGTTATCAATACTGGGAACCTCAAGAAGGAGGAACCGTTCACGGGAATTTCACCGTTCGGACTTTATCCATTGATTTATTTACAGATTTCACAGTTTACAGGCTGGAGTTGGTCAACCTCAAGGTATTCAAATATTTCTAAGAATTTAAATTAACTTATTTAATTTTTTAGTAAAAATTTTTATTAATTTAAAAAATTTTTAGAGCGAAGAAGTTCGAGAAATTTATCATTTTCAATTTACATCATGGCCGGATTATGGTACCCCACACAGCGCTTTGGCAATGTTAGATTTCTTAGAAAGAGTCAGATTGCAACAGGCTAACATGGTGGCTTTATTAGGAGATACTTGGGCTGGGCATCCCAGAGGACCTCCGATAGTTGTCCACTGTAGCGCCGGTATTGGAAGGACGGGTACGTTACCATTTATAAATAAAAAATATTATTTTATGATATGAGAGTTTATATAAATGCGAGATAAACAATATTTAAAAAAATTTACACTTAATTTCAGGGACATTTTGTACAATAGATATATGTATAAGTCGATTGCAAGATGTTGGAACTGTTGATGTGAGAGGGACAGTCGAAAGGATACGAACCCAAAGAGCATTTTCTATTCAAATGCCCGAGCAATATATATTTTGTCATTTAGCTCTTATAGAATATGCCTTAATGAAAAAATTGATTCCTCCAGTCGATCTCACCGAACTGGAAATAACAGATGAAGATTCCGAGTAATAAATAACAAAAAAAAAAAAAAAAAAATTTAAAAATTTAAATGTATAATAAAATTTATTTATTTTTAATTATATATAACTTATTGTATTCCTTTTTTTTTTTTTTAAATAATTTTAACACCACTTTTTTTAATTTAATTTTTATTATAGAAAGTTAAGTAATTGAAAATTGTATTTTTCCTATTAATATTTAAAAAAA